TCAAAGGAAGCCTCATCTTGCACCTGTGAGGCGTTACCTGTAAAAAGGTCCTTATACAGGCGCGGGTCCAGGACGGAGTGAATGGAGGCCTCTCCTTGCGTGGTTGGCTGGCTTCCCTGCCATGGGTAATGTACCGTCTCATCAATATCGGGATAGACGTACTCCTGCGAGGGAGGTTGGTGATGTGGGTGATGGTCGTCCGGGTAATCCATTTTGGGATACAAGTATTCAGGTGACTTTACTAATACGGACTTTGTGTAGCAAGACTTTGCCGGCCACTGGCCCCTAGAGTGCAAAGACTGGCTGGAAACTAAACATAGACCTCCCTTGAGGCGCAGATCACTAAGTAAGCAGACAGCCTAGCCGAGGTGTCGTCTCAGTCGTCTCAAAGATATCGGGGAGTGTTGTGTAAGACTATGCGACAAAGAAGCGATCATCATTGGGTTGTAGTGGAGCCACAGCAAACGGACAAGCAATTGGAGCTTGAGTCCAAAAACACGGTTGGATGGCGTTGTAATAGTGTCTAGAGAAGGCAGTTTAGAAACATTCGAGAACCCAAGGGAGGCGCACAAGACAAAGGGTAAGGCGGAGCGATAAAGGAAGGTCGGATCACGGACCTGGAGAGAGGGTTTATTCATAGCAACATGTAAGCGCCGCCAATCCCAGACTAAACTTGCCGATGCAGAAAACCGGCCAGACCGGCCGACTGGGACGCGTCGGAGGCAGTGGGATATAGAAGTGAGATAGGTCAGATGAAAGGAGAAGATATAACCAGATCTTGAACGATGAAATTGTCGATATAGTCAATGTTACAATAAGATATAGAATGATTGAAGTCCTGAAGTATCTGGACAGCCGAAGAAGAAGAAGAAGCAAGTAAAGAAGAGGTTCGTTCGGCGGAGAACAAATCAAGCCAAACACAACCCAATCCAGCCAATCCGGTGACTTTTTCTTACGCCCGCCACGGCAAAGTGTCGTTTTTTCGTTTCGCTTCTTGTTTCTTTCGTTCTTGACTTGTTCTGTTGCTTCTCTCCATCTTCTTTTCCGCCTTTCTTCGACTCCCTCTGTGTCTCGGTCTTATTCTCCCTCTTCCCTTCTTCCCCCCCATCCATCTAACTCTCTCTTTCTCTCCTCCTCCTCCCCCCATCTTCCCTCACCTCCCTCGCCCATCAGGTTTCTGCTTCTTCGCTTCCCCCCTTTTTTTTCTTCTTTTTACTTTCCTTTTTATTTGATGTTCTAGGTATCTTGCTTGCTGTGTTTGACACACTATTGCAGATAACCCTGACATCCTTTCGTTAAAAAAGAAGAAAAAAAAGAAAAAGAAAAGTCAAAAAAAAGCGCAACCCACACTTCCCCTACACTAATTCCACCCGGGAAGTCGCCGCGTTTTTCACTCGCCATCCACCGAGGATTTTCTTCCGGCCATCTGTCTTTTCTCGTTCTCTCCACAATCGATTGATCGAAACACCTCCTTTGATGCTCTTGCGATTCGCTTGATTCCTTATCCTAGAATCCGAATCGGGCAGTGCAGCCACTGGACTGGTCTGTGCCCCAAACGTCATTGTCCAGAACCAACACAGTTGGGTTTCTCACCTCTTCCAACCGAAAAAAAAGTGTCTCCGTCCTTAGAGAGATTTCTCGCTTTTGATCCTTTGTCTCCTGGGTGATTCGCTATCTCCCAGCCTGCGACCAAAATAAGAAAGACCTCCTGTTCCGACCAACCCTCACGACACGCAAACTCAGCAGGTGCTGCAGGTGTTTTGCAGTAATTCTTCTCTTTCTGTATTTAGTTTTCATCCGGGCCTCGCGTAAAGGGAGACCGATTTGAAGGGGAAAGACACTCAGAAAAGAAAGTCCTATTCCGAGACTTTCCTTTGACCCTCCTTGTTCCAGAATCCTACCCTCATTCAATCCCTACTTATGGCCAGCCATATCATCGGCAACCGCAACAGCACGCCTGAAGCCTCCAAGTCCAGTCTTCGTCCTCCATCGTCGTCGCGGAATCTAGGATCGCACCAGCTTCGTGCATCGGCCGATATGTCGGGCTTCCCGTCTCCTCTGTCATCCCGCAGTATCCGTCCTTCCTCGGAAGTGTACTTCAATCAACAGTCTCAGGCGTCGAACAACGCGGAGGACCCGTTGGACCGCGCGGCTCAGCAGTGGCTTGCGGATATTGATCAGTACGAGACTACATTGGAAGAAATGGCCGCTGCCACGCTGGACCAGGACTTCAAGGATGAGCTTAGCGCCATCGAGCAGTGGTTCCGGGTCCTCAGCGAGGCGGAGAGGACTGCTGCCCTTTACGCTCTGCTGCAGCAGACCACTCAGGTGCAGATTCGTTTCTTCATCCAGGTTTTGCAGCAGATGGCCAAGAGCCATCCCATGTCGGGATTGTTGTCTCCAGCCAACTTTGGTGAGAAGGGTAAGTTGCATACCGAACCAGGCATGCGTGGCAGGTATTAACAGTATTTTTTCGACAGATGCCATGTCTAATCGCCTGAACGATGCCATGTCCAAGTTGAACGTGGACAGCTCCCGGAGCTCTCTCGGTCGCCCCCCGCCGTCCCCGGGTGCCAAGCGCAACTCCGGACTCGACTCGTCCACCATAAATGCCATGTTCCCTGATGCCGCGGCGGCAATCGCGAAGAAGAAGGCTGAGTTCACCCAGCAAACGGGCAATGCTCCGCCCTCGAACCGCAACAGCGCTGTCTTCGATCGGACTTCCTTTGTGGCACCCACCATTTCCGCTCCGGACAACAGCAACGACACCTTGGGCCAGCCTCCGGTTTCGCCCTGGGCCCAGCGCGGATCTGAGCCGCAACCCCCTATCGCTCGTCCTAAGTCCTCGTCCGGCCATCAGCCCATGGGCCAATTCAGCCAGACTCCTTCGAGCCTGCGCTCTCCGCTCCCTACCCAAACCGCCACGATTCCTGCCCCCGAGATTGATGCTCCCTTGCTCTCGCCGTACAATGTTGGAAATGCCAGCTGGGCCTCCATGACCAACACCCCCATGACGGCGACCTTTGGCCAGCAATCGCAGCAGCCCCAGCAGAACTCGCAGGCCGATATGGTGGCCAACGCGACTGCGATGAAGCTGGCCGCACTGTCGACCGTCAACAACCGCATTGCACTTGATGATGCTCGCAAGTACCGTCGGGCTCGCTCCAACGATGGCCAGGGTAAGAACTCGGCCAACGCCGGCCACGGCATGTCTCACGGTGGCCTGGCCAGCCCGGGCCTCCCGGGCCACAATCATCTGGTTGCCGGACAGCTGTTGAACACTCAGCAGCTGGCGGCTTTGCAGGCACAGCAGCAGGCCGCGATGGCGGGTCGTCGCTCCCGCCCGACGTCGCCTGGAATCGCCATGCAGGGTGCTGGCGGACTTGGTCCGATGGGCTTCACTTCGCCGCAGAACAACGGCTTCTTGGCGGCATATGACCCGAACAACCCGCTCATGGGTAACGGCCTGGGTGCACTCGGCATCGGGCAGTTTGGCCTGGGAGGTCCGGAGGGCTACCTCTCGGACCACTCGGAAGTGGCTCGCGGCCGGTCCCCGCGTGGTCGTCGCGGTAGCTCGAAGCCGCCGGAGGACCCCACGGACCCCAACCTGTTGAAGGATATTCCCAGCTGGCTGAGATCGCTGCGGCTGCACAAGTACACGGAAAACCTGAAGGACTTGAAGTGGACGGAGCTTGTCGAACTGAACGACAAGGCGCTGGAAGACCGCGGCGTCAATGCTCTGGGTGCCAGAAACAAGATGCTCAAGGTGAGTCATAGAAGATTTCCTAGATGGTTAGGGTTATGCTAATTTCTGTAGGTTTTCGAACAAGTCAGAGAAGCCAAAGCCGAGGGCAAGCTCGACAACATCGCGTGACGAAGTGCAGCCATTCATTCATCGTCTTGACTTAACGTTTCTGCTTACATTCTCTCTATTGCATTAATTGACTAGATTGGCTTTGGGCATAAGTGGCAGGATCCGAAATGAACCTATGAGCGATCTCATCGGAAATGAATCTTGGGAGGAAGTTGTCTAGTAATGGGATTCGAACGCCATTGGGGCAGTTGGATGAGTGACCGACTTGACTGACTTATTGACTTATTGTTTGTATGGATGTATTCACATGTTCATGTAGACGTGCGTGGGGCTGTGTCTCAGCATGTCGTGTTATGATGGCTAGGATGTTAATGGTATAATCATCATGGCTTTGGTAAATATAATTGTTGCAAATACAGCAGATTACAGTAGACACTTTTCTAGTTACTTCGTAGTCTACCACAATCTCCAAACTCCGTAGTAACTAACATTAGAGAGAAAAGTACTAGAACCCCCGAAGGCGGAACCATCCGGCAATATCCCCAACTCCAACATCATATCACAGCTACCTAGCTATCTATCTATCTACCTACTTACCGGACTCAACATCAACCACACTTCCACCCACAACACTCCAAACCAAAAGCAACATAATAGAAGATTCAAGATGCCACCTACAAAACAAGAACTCTCGCTCCTGATCAACCCTCTCGTCCCCGAATCCCTCCAACACAACAACAGGGTAACGCATCCCGCATCCCCAAAACCACCAACCCTCCCACTTAAACCATAACATACCAATCTAACCAAATATAATCTATATAGACATTATCCTCCCTCCACTCCCTCACCTCCTTCCTCCTGGGTCTCACAGCCGGAATCCTCTCCCTCCAATCCGCCACCGGATTCCTCTTCTACCTCCTAGGAACGGTCTTCGTGTCCGCGCTATTCCACGCCCTGTTACTCTATCGCTCGGGGGGACTCGGTGCGGGGATGTATTTTGCTGGAGCGAATGGGGAAATCGAGGGTATGGATGAGAGGGGCGTCGTTGTTGGTCGTAAGGGTACTAAGGGTGGGGGCATGATGAGACGTGCGGCTTGGAGGAATGTTTGGTTTGGGGGTGGGGTGTTGGGTGAGGCGCTTAGTGGGTTTGTGCTTGGGTGGGCGGGTGTTGGGGGGGTTTTGAGGTGATTCTTACTTTGGAGGAGGTATGGGTATGAGGGGAAGTAAAAGAAAATGGGATGGGGGAAGAAGACGTACGTGGTAATGGGGAGTAGGGTGGGTGTCAGGTGTATCTATTATTGATGTGTGTATGTTTGTATGTATGTATAATTCTATGGGTCTATGCTATCTAGTGTGTCTATGCGGTGTTGTCGTGTAGGGGGAGTGGTGGTGGTGGTGATGAGATGGGCTTGCTGATGCGCTTGTGGGTGGTGATGGTGCCCTGTGGGGTTTGATTCATTAGCATCGTCTCTGGTATGGAAGGAAGGAAGAGGCGATGTTACCTTGGCTAGGGCCCATAGATATGGAATGTGGATGACCTCGCTTCGTCCATCTTCGGTATTGGTGCCTCCGGCATGCTCTCCGTCTTCCTTTGCTCGGACGTTCACCCAGACGTTGCCCATGATTGTGGTCGTTACGAGACTCAATCCTATTATGGGGATGATCGAGATGAACGCCCACATAATGGCATCCTTAGCAGCCATGTGGACGCTGTCTTGCACGGCTGCGGGCAGATTGTTGAGGAATGCTAATGAGTTGGTATCGTGGACGTTCAGCGAGCTGCCAGTGCCCTCTAGGCCCGTTATGGCAGAGGAGCGGCCGAACTTGTTGTTGAATACACTGGTCATGATGGTCAAGCCGAGCGTGCCCCCAAAGGGAAGTGAAACCTGCATCAAGGACATGGCTGGTGCTATCCGCTCTGGCCAAATGCCCACCGTGTGGAGCGATGAGGGCATCAGGCGCAGTCCGACTCCTGCGCCGGTGATAACTACCATTCCGCTTAGCAGGCTGGTCTTTTGTGCACTGATGGCATAGGCCACTACGGAGAGACCGACGGTGCTGAGCACGGCTCCCAGGAGGAGGGGGAAGAAGGTTTGGCGAGGAAAACCGTTGCAGAAGTAGATTGCTAGGTAAACACCAGCTATACGCATGTTAGCCAGTGACTTGCAGGTCTCCGTTGGCAAGTGTCTTACCTCCTAGTCCGGGAATGTAGTATAAGAGATCTAGGCCTGCCTTCGAGGCAGAGTAGCCAGCTACCAAGATGTAGTAGATACTGACAAAGTAAAAGATGGAATAGGAAGCTAAGGCAGTCAGCGGCCGTGAGAGTGTATCATGGATGGATGTGTCACTTACCTACGCCAGTGGAAAAGTTCACTATAGCAAGCCAGATTGTGTCCCTTCGTTCGAATAGGCTGTATGGAACCATCGCCACGTGTTTCGGGAAGATGCGTGCGAACAATTTACCTGGCTCAAGGAGGTACTCGTACACGAAGAATGCAATGAAGCAGATTGCACCGATGATCAATGGCGCCAGCACCTGAGGAGACGACCAGGAATAAGTGGCGCCACCCCATGTAGTGGCCAGGATGATAAGGCCAACACCGAATATGAAAAGGACCGATCCTCCGAGATCTATGGTAGCAAGTGCTGGGAGTATCGAGGACCATCTTGAGCCCTTTTTGAACATGGTACCTTCGACAAGGTCGTTCCGCAACAGCACGAAAATCATGATGTGGCTGAGGACAGCGATCTGATAATTGTGAGGCTTTGCATAGAGGAAGATAGTGCCAGACTTACAGGAATAGGCACAACGAAGCAATATCGCCAATTGCTCTATTTTTGTCAGAAAAAGTATACATCGGCATACAACCAAGCTACTCACATCAGTAAGATACCTATAATGCAGTCATTAGTAGTGTTCATATCAGCCTTAGACGAACACTTACCCTCCGATAACCGGGCCCACGGCATATCCCACTCCTCCAAATATGGTGAATAGAGACTTGTTCCTTGCATTCTCCTTCAAGGACACCTTGTCGGCCAGAACAATCATGATGATATTGTTCAGACCTGCAGAGCCTATACCCTGCAAAGCCCTACCCAGCAGCAGCATGCCCCATGTCTGCGCAGCTGCACACAAGACACTTCCAATAAGCATGAGAAACAATGCCGTCTGTAGTATAATATGACGCCCGAAAACATCAGCAAGCTGACCGAATATGGGAATGAAGGTGGTTGATGTGAGACTAAAGGCGGTAATGATCCAGTTCAGCTCGTCAAACTGGTCTAGAAACAACGTACATGGTCAGCAAGAAACAGTTAAACACTAGAGTCCGACTCACTAAAGTGAGATGCGATAGTCGACGTCGCAGTAGCAACAATGGTCAAGTCCAGTGTGGAGAGAGTAAACGGCAGCGTGAGGCCAGCAATGAGCTTGACGCGGTACACTCGCGCATTATGCTTTTGCTCCTTGCACAGGCTGCATTTCTCGGTGTCTGTAGCAGGACTCAATTCTTTTGTGGAGCCAGACCTAGGCCTTCCCAAAGACTCAGAGTCTTCGCGGTTGGTCGATTCTAGTTGGTACCATTGCGAGCGATGTGCACAAGGCGGCTTTGATGTTGGGGACTTGGAGTCTTTCGTCTTCTGCGATATGTACTTGTAAGCTTTAATCATATCGGTAGCGGTAGTCCGTCAGTCTGGAAGTCAAAGCAACAGTATATAGTATGATGATGGTGAGATATGCCTGTTATAGAAAAGGCTGCACGGGCTGCTGATAGAATCAAGGTACTACAGGATGCCATTGTGTAGTTATATAAGAAGAATCCAACTTGGCCTCGTGTGCCGAGTCAAATGCAACTGAGGCTGTGTAGTCTAGACAATATATCTCCTTCGAGCCATCAGTGCGAGGCACAAAGGATGTCAACATGATCCATGTCAAGAGCATGCCATCACTGCAGCCAAATGTAGGGCCGTTTCGAGCAAGTAATGCGTGCCCGTCTGATTGGCCGGAGTGGTAATATGCGCAAGCCCTACCGAATGCGGTAAGGACTGCGAGGAGTCAGCCAACTCAGCCTCCAACGTTATATTCTGACTACTATGAATCTTAAGCTCAACAAAAATCTTCTAGGAATCTATTCTATAGGACGTGGTTCGGATGGCATGAACGCATTAAACAATATATGTACGTCTTGAACGAGTCTATCTATATACACATAGCGAGACATCAGGGGTATAGCTTCAATCGACAGTAAATAAAATCGTAAATCCGACTCGCTCCAAAGCAAAACCCCAGGTAAGAAAAACCATGAAATATAATCATCTCGAAGCTCCAGCCAGGGAGGATCGTTCATCTTCTATACCGATCGCGGATCGACTTATGCGCTTGGCTCCTCAATAGGCTCTTCCGGAGGCGAGTTGGCCAAGGCACTCTCGAGCGCACTCGTCAGGTCAATGTGGAAGAATGGCCGGTTGATGCCCTGCACCACCGCCGCCTTGCGTCGATTGCGGTATGCCTTACTGTCCTTGAGATCGCGTGCCAGCTTGTCGTCTGGCGTGCTGCTGTTGTCGGACGACGCTTCAATATCAATTCCGGACGCCTCGCGCTCGGTCATGTGGGTTTCATGTTTGAGTCCCTCCTCAAGGTCACGCTTGACGGCGTTCTGATGGGCATGCTCATTGTTAACCATCTCCGCATGAGCCGCAGCAGATGCCCGTCCTTCGATCTCAGCCACACTGAAAATCGGCTTCCACCGGTGGAACCCGTCATCAGAGGCAGGAGTCGGGTAACCGAAACCTGCGGCTGCCAGTGCTCGTTTCGTCCAGCGGTTGTTAATATGAGCGAAGTGCCACTGCACAGTGCGAGGAGAGGCATAGAGATCGAGCTGGTTGCGAACATCGATCAGATTTTGGATGGAAGTCACATCAACATTATTAACCGACGAGAAATCGAGGATGATGGAGCGGAGGATGGGCCGTTGCGAGCGGCTGTCTTCCTTGCCCTTGCGAGAGCCGGGGTCGTTCCAAGGCCGATCACCGGGACGAGAGTAAGAGAATGGGTTGGTGCGACGCGTCTGCCGGAAGATTGCCTGAACCAGATAGTCGGTGTAGTGGTTTGCGTTGGGGTAGTTAAAGCCCTCAGAGAAACGGTAAATGAAGATACCGGGGTATGGTTGTTCCACCTCAACCTCGGGGTTCGAGCCATCGGTATGGTTAAGAGGAAGGAAGATAGACCGACGGGATTCGCCCTCATTGTCGGGGGCATCAGGGAAACCACCCGGTCCATACTTGCCATCTCCTTGGATCAGATGATCGCCAACAACGGAGTGAATGGTAACGCGGCCCAGGAACTGACCGCGGGCCTTGGCAACGCGGAAAAGCAGGACAGCCACGGACACGCAGATAGTGCAGTAGATGCCATCCTCGATCGAGGTGAAGACAGTTACGATGACACCGATGAAGAAGATAATTGCATCAAGGGGTGAGACGCGCCAAAATTGGTACACAGTGTTGGGGGGCGTAATCAAATCGCCGACAGCGTGGATGATAACACCGGAAAGGGCGGCTTGGGGAATATAAAAGAAGACGGCGGTCAGGGCGTAGATGGCGAGCAACACAACAATGGCGGTGATACAGCCGGCCAAGGGAGTCCGAACACCTGCCTTCGACTTGATGGCAGTCCGGGAAAAGGATCCGGTGGCAGGGTACGCGCCCAGAAAAGGGCCGAGAAGGTTGGTCACACCAATTCCGACCAATTCTTGGGACGGCTCAATGGTATAGTTGTTGACACGGCCAAAGGACTTGGAGATTGCGATATGCTCGATAAGGAGGACGATAACGCAGGCAGGAAGCTGACTGGCAAAGACCTTGATGATCCTGGCGTTGACAACAGGGACAGCCGCATCTTGGAAACCTGAAGGGCACACATGTTAAGTTAGTTGACTACCCTCAAAAGCTAGATTTATCAAATAACAAACGCACCTCTTGGTACACTGCCCAGAAGATCAAACATCGGGTTATCCCTGCGGTGAAGGTTGACTGCCGCACTGATCATGGTGTAGAAGAGGATGACAAAGACAGTGCGCAAAGTCGACGCGAAGAACCACACTTTAGCCTGGCGAGGATACTTGCGAGCACCATAGTTGCAAACGGAACGGATAATGTACAGCATGGCCAAGGCTGTGACACCAAGGGCAGCATCAATACCCGCAGTAGGAAGATACTTCAACGAGTTGATAATGATCATATAGGTTGAGCCTCTGGTGGAGAAGTCGGCCGATTCTCCAAGGAGCTTCTTGACTTGACCGGCAGCGATATTGAGAGCGGATCCCGTCATGAATGCCGAAATTGCAGGAAGGGGAATGAAGTCAACGATGAAGCCGAGCCGAAGGAGACCGAGGGCACAGACGATGGCACCGCAGATGATAGCCAGGCAAGACGCCACGATATGTCCTGGAACATCCGGAATCTCTTGCTCAGCCTGGAGCACAATCGTTCCGACCAGCGTGGACATTACAGCAACAGGCTAGACGAGAAGTTAAAAGGCATGGCTCGATAGCGGCAAATATTGGGAGATGGCACCTACCCCGATAGTGATATCCTTGGATGTGGCGAAGAACCAATAAACCAGTACACCCATGAACGATGAGTAGAGACCATACTGCACTGGTAGTTCGGCGAGTTTGGCGTAGGCCATTCCTTGAGGGACAACAACAGCACCGACAGTTACACCTGATGAGTCAAGTAAGATACATTGGCCACACATATATACAGCATCAGGACCCGATGTGGCGACTTACCGGCGACAAGATCACCGAAAAACCATTGCAGGTTATACTTTGTGATCCAAGAAAGGAAGGGGAACAAGTTGTAAAAATACATGAGGACATCATGCCAGGTTGGACAGATCTCTTTAAGCCATTCGGCAGTGGTAGGTTCCGGTTCGAGATAAGAGTATGTCTCAACGGTGCCGTATGAAAAGGTCGATTCGCCGCGAGTGACGGGGTCGGAGTGAGCTCCAAGGGGATCCCGATAAGGCAATTTGATACCCAGAACTTTGGCCAGGCCGTGGCCGGTCTTGGTCATGAGGTCTTGCGACATGGTTGTCTGGGAGGCCTCAAATGGTAGGAAAGGACTGTTTCTAGGGCAAGATGGTGCCCCGAGCCACTTGGAAAGTGGAAATTTGGCGTTGACGACCGGAGCTGCTCAACAACAATTCTCGAGTGATTGAAAAGAGAATTGCAGTCCTCCAAGGTAATATATCTTCCAGGGGTGTATTTAGGCAAGCCCCATGGCAAGGTTGATGGCAAACGATATAAAAGTGGAGGCGGGAGGATAGTGTGGTTTTAAAATGAATATCCGAAGCCAAGCGCCGATGTCGTGATCGGGAGCTATGAACGCGAAATATCAAAATGCCCACTCGACCCTCTTTTCAACGTCAGGATCCAGGCTACACGAGCAAGTTGAACTCAAAGATCTGTCAGATAAATATGATAAAAAGTAGATGAGAGAACAAAAGTCCAAGAAAAGCACACGCGGCTTTTTTGAGTTCCGCTAGGAAATAATGTAGATGTGGCGCACGGGGAAAAATGTGGTCGAGCGGAAGATGAGACCAGCAGATCCGTCCCACGCAAGTGTTTCAACAACACAAATAGCCACAGAAGCAAAAATGAGAAGAAGGATAATAATGAACAAGTAGTGAAAGTAGTTCGAGGGAGGTCAGTCCAGAGAGTTTTAAAGTGATTAGTCTTGTCAGAAGAAGTAAGGTGACACGGGTCTCCGTGGGGAGAGCGGACGTCGCAACGGGAGTTGATGCAAGCCGATCAATGAGTATTCTGCGCCAAAATGGCATTGACAACGACGACCATGATACGACTATTATTAACCGGGAAGGGAGCATCAGCAAGAAACGCGCAGTGATGGGGCAGCTGATCCACCAGGGATCGTCAAGGGCAAAAAGCACGCCGTCTGGAATATTCACAAGCCCGTCGTCAACACGCAGCTAAGAAAAAAATTCCCTAGCCTGCAGGGAGGGCCAAGCTCGTCAGAGAAAGCTGGCGTAAGAGCGCCGTTTAGGTGGGTTTGGCCGGGGTCTGGAAGCGAAAGATGACGATGAGCCGTGGAGCAGGTGCCCGCCTACCGGCTGGGCCCATGGTTTGCGATTTGCATGGGAAGGAGTGAGTAGTGTATCAAGTGTGCAGTCGAGCATCCAGGACAGGATTAACCTCCGGCCAACCACTGAACGGGATTCAATACCCTGATGATTATATGGTTCACTACTCGAAAGAGCCGAACAGATGGAGTTCATTCTCGGTAGTCGTAACCCACCATGACGATTGCAAGAGGAAATGTTCCTCTTCGTGATGGATCCAGCATTTGTCCGACGTTCGCAGAGGGGGAGGAGCCAAAAGGGAAAGTAAGTTGAGTGGACTCCATCCGCCATATTGCCAAGGCACACCGCCCACCGGAATTGGGTCAAGACCAGGGTATGGACCAATGAGGATGGTCCCTGGCTACTGGAGAGCAACATCCGCGGCGGGCAGGCGGCGGCCAATAGGAATAGTGCGAGAACACGCCATCGCTCCGACTGATGGTGAAAGATGGCCGGTCCACGTGTGGGCGGCGCGGTTTCGTCCAAGTATCGGCTGGGCCGTTCTGTACTCTTCCTTTCCCTCCCCCTCCCCCCCTTTGTTGAGAAGATGGAAGTTCTCCGTAACTACGAGGTCCCTGGTACCTCCCCCCCCCGTTTTCCCTACTGTTTGCCTCCTGGACTGACTTGCCGCCAATAAGGTAATCTCCCTTTCTTTCCCACTTTATCTACTTAGTAAGTACTCTATCTCCGATGCCCGGATGACGAGTACACATCTCGTATCGGCCTGGACTGCCAGAATCGGTTTCTCCCTGGGGAGCTACTCTGCAGATCTGGATAAATTTATTCCAGGGTCATTGAACATTCTGCTGTGTTCTTATTGTAATTTTGTATAAATTAAAATCGATTTCCACATGTGCATGGCAACAATGTATCTGGGTGTCACGAACATACTGCTAAGCAAGCGGCAGTAGTACAAGCGGACGGGACAGTCTTGACTACGTACCACCGTTTATTTCCTCTGTAACTGTGGATGCAACAGACTTGATGACCAAGATTGCCTTCTCAGCTTTTCCAACGAGACTTTGCCGATGTGGCTTGGCACCGTCAGTAGTCATGGAACTGCTGCAAAACAAACTTCTTTCCCATCAGATAAACGTGGAAGCCCGACAAGACAGCTTCCCTGCTACTTGCTGATCTACAATCGCAGAGTCCATCTAGCACGGCTCACCCAACCCCAAATGGAAAGAGATATTCTGTTCTCTAACAGGTCATGTTGACGGCGGCTTCAGGCCGTAAGCACCACCACTTCTAAACCTTGTTGATTTTCTCCATTCCATTACCAACTGCATTGGCTCAACCCCTACTTAGTAGTATCCAACCCAACGCTGCATCTATAAAATTTATGCGACCAGGATGTCTCCTCGGAGCAGCCACCATCTTCCATCCAATCAGACAGGTCGTGCTGACCAGGGAGTGTCTCAGAAGGATTGCCCGGCTTAGCTGGTGCATATGTACCTAAAAAATAGCTGCGAGCTAAGGAGGTTCCCCAGAATTGCGCCATCGATCTTATCACTGCGTGATGCGGCTGTCCAGGGACATCATTGGAAGATTAATTCGATGTGGTTTGATGTATGCCTACCGTCAGAGTATAGACATCGAACGATTCGGTGAGCAGCACGTCCTTCGGCCCGACCGTGTCCAAAATGAATGAGCCACTTTTGTAGATTAATCTCTCATTCCTCTGACTAACAGCGGGTTCCTCTTCCGCAATAGTTGCCTTGTTCGCTTGGCTGCGCGGAGATACCACACCTTCTTCCGTCCATCTCTACTAGTTTACTACACCCCTGCAGCTGCGACATCCCCGTGGTATGGACAATCATCCATCGAGCAATGAGTCCCCAACCCATCACATTCCTAACCTGATCGTATTCCGATGCTTCCTTTCCCTCGCAGACCTATCAGCGCGAGGACATGTCAGACAAAACCCCGCCGCAAATCCTAGTACCTACCAAAACACTAACATATTCAACGTTCTCGTGGCCGAACTTGATCAACAAAAAGTCCGGTCTGCTGACAAGAACTATACAGCACATGCGAACATTAGAGCCTCCTCTATCTAGCAGGAATGCGCTCATCGTACATCAAATCTATCCTGTCGCCTCTTAAGAACACCCATAGAAGGAGCTAAGCGAGACATACGGTTCTGGCACAGACCCAGACTAACTGCCAACAACAATGATCTGCAAACCTTGATATCTATCCATCAAAGTCATCCATCTAAAGTTCAATAAATGTCTTATGTGACAGCCGTCAGTCAACCTTACCTCAACCAGCTTGCCATAACCCCACTACCATGGGTTCAATAGCTTAACGTGCTTGAACTGTCCGTGTGACAATATACTGCATTCATCTGAATCAGTTTTAACATATCTCTCTGAGAGTTTGGTGTCTCACTGCAGAAAAGGTCACGAGATACAAGCGACCTGCAAGTGCTTTGTTGTCCGTGTCCTTGCAGAGCACATGACCGAGCTTGGGTGTGCCCCTCCAATGAAGTATAACATTACGCTCGAGCTAATCTGGCATCCTACAAGTCACCTAACCAGCAATCCGCTAATATACGATACTAACCGACGTCATCTACGTATAGATCATCACCTGGGTCGAATTCTCTCATCTTTAACTCAACAATAAGCAAAGACAGATGGAAGGGAGTGCACAGCGTATGCTTTTCACAACTCCATTCCTGCACCTGAAGGATGCTGCTGGAGGGTTACAGTGCAAATTACCATGTTGTGAGAGGCTTTAGCAACATCATCTGCCGTATGATGCAGCCCGGTTATGAATTCCTGACTCTGGCCTCCTCGTAGAGTACCTCAGCACATCTATCTCATTTCACTAGTCAAACGGCGTAGGAGGGGAGATGAAGAGCTCGCTTATTTAGATATACTTTGAAGTGAATCTCACGGGATCAAGCATTGAGAAGAATGCTCTTATGCACGAAGAATCAATCATTAAATTGAGTATAATGAATGATGCAGTGCTCAATGACGCCATGACAAAGGTGAACATTGAAGCATTAGGAATGATGCTAGAGTGTTCATGATATAGAACACATGATACCTACTATATCTATTTTATCTGTGGTGCTATTGTAGAGCTGGTACCTCATATCTCTACGAAACACTGCTCATTTGTATACTTAGTAGGATTGAAATGATAGAAAGTAAATTGCATAGACCGCTAGCAAAAGCATTTCAATGACTCGTTGACGGTTGACAGGTATATACATTCCTCGCGACGAGTATACTATTATCTATTCGCAAAAGATCAAACTTTTCTTATTCTATGTCCCCTTTTCACTCATCTTCACCCTTCCTCTTCCGAAGATGTCCCAATCCATATAGCGAGTCGTTCAGTTCCTTCCGTTGCTTCTCCTCCGTGGTGGCTGGGACTTGATCCGTGCCGGTGGAGTTGATCTTGTCGGTTACAGACGCCGCGGTCGGCTCCCATTCCAAGCTATCGCTGTCGGTCTTGACGTGGAATGCTTCAACCAGGGTGGAGGGGGAGGCGGGGCTGGCTCTCCATTCTTGAGTGGAGTCAGACTGGCGGATGGGATCGACGGAGACAAGGATAGTGTTGTCTTTCTCGACGGGGGTGAGGTCGAGGACGTTGCCGGAGAGTTGAATGGAGGCTTGTGTTTTCAGGGTGCCGTCGGATTCCAGCGTGAAGCATTGCAGACGGGAGGAGCTACTCCAGTTAGAATATGTACTCGGTAGTGATAAGATTGGAGCTGTAAAGAAAACTCACCCGTGAAGTGCGACAAGGATGATACGCAGGTCTCCAAGGGTCGTCGCCCAGATACCCTGCACTGCAACCTCTGTAGCTTCTGATGTCTCGTTTACCAGGGAAACCTTCTGGAGAATACGGCCTTCAGCCCAGTTCCAAACGAGCAGGTAGTTGTCGCCTCCACCGGAAACGAGATACTGGGGTGCCCACTGAGGCACACAAAGCTTGCTGATGAACGAAGTATGGCCCAAGCAGTAATTTTCAATGACGTGGGCCTGAGGGGGACCACGGGAGACACGGATATGTTCATCTCGGTCGGCGGTCAGGATGTAGCTGCGCTTCTTGTTCTCATCCACCGGAAGCGAGACGAAAACCATATCCGTGAGCAGCGACACATGGCCAAGCAAGACTTTGTGTTCGAAAGTCGGGCCAGAGGACTTCTCATCCCTCTTTCCTTCGCTGGCTAGACGCAATTGTTGTTCCAAAGCTCGTAGGTTGCCCTTCGTATGCACGGTCAGGTTTGTTGCCGCCGGATGGCTAAGTTTTGCGCTTCTGAGGGCTTTCGTAACGACAGGAATCTTGTCGCCTGGGATCAGTGGCAATGAGTAGACGTCTCCAAATTTGTCACCACACAGGATAGTGTTGTCGTCATCAGTGAGGGTAATGGCGGAGGGTCGCTTGGGCATAGCTCTGTATAAAGTATGAGTTTCCAGATACTGAGCCAGAATTGATGGAGAAGATATCTACTCACCTCTCGCTCAGCTGAACAAAAGAACCATCTTCCTGAAGCTGGAAGACACGGACGCACTTATCTTCGGCGGTAAGCGCAACTATGTGCTCGCCGTTCGCAGTGCCAGTCACTATGGGGATGTTTGACCAGGCGGGCTTCTCAATTGATTGGGATTCTGACGATGTGACTTTCCGCTTCTTCTCTGGGGGTCCTTGCTCGGGAGTGGACTCTGCGTCAACAGGGTTGGTTTCACTCGAGGCGACATCTACTGGCCAAACCGCCAGTCGCTGGCCAGTCTCTGCGGAGTAGGAATAAAGCTTGGAGCCCGCTGACCCAATCAAAAGATTCGTAGACGATCTCTGCACCAAGCGGAGGCATTGCAAGGGATGCTGAAAGTGCGCAGACATCTTGAAAGAAATGACTGAAAGTGTAAATCAACGAAAAGTAAAAGCACGAAGCAAGGCTTCTTCTCCGCTGTCGCAGTAGATCGCCGTAAAAAGTCGATGTCCCGCCGCATCATGGCCGCATCTCCGCGCGCCCGACCGCCTTCCTAACAGGGGCGGAGAGAAAGCGGGGCCCACGTGACTGGAAAACAAGCGAGGCCACAACTAAGAATTTCCCAAAATCGACGCGACCTTCCGTACTTTCTGAACTTCATCGTCACGATTCAGATCGGACAACCACGAAAGTCGAAACATTTCACTTGCCCTTAAACATCCTATCTTCAGCGAATTAAGGAGACATGGGGGGCAAGTCTGCTACCAAGGCCGCTTACTTCGAGAAGCTCAAGGCCCTTCTCGATGAGTACAAGACGGTCTTCATTGTCGGTGTCGACAATGTCAGCTCTCAGCAGATGCACGAGATTCGTCTGAGTCTCCGTGGCGAGGGTGTCGTCCTGATGGGTAAGAACACCATGGTATGTGATCCTCTGAAATCACCGGTGCTTGTTTTGTATGCTGATGAATTTTTTAGGTTCGCCGTGCCATCAAGGGCTTCGTCAACGACAACCCCGAGTACGAGCGTCTGCTCCCCTTCGTTAAGGGTAAGTGAAATTGCTTCCAGAGTATATAATGATATCAATTGGCTAACTTTCGCTGTCTTGCACAGGTAACGTTGGTTTCATCTTCACCAACGGTGACCTCAAGTCCACCAAGGAGAAGATCCTGGCCAACCGTGTCGCTGCTCCCGCTCGTGCCGGTGCCATCGCCCCTGGCGATGTCTGGATTCCCGCCGGTAACACCGGTATGGAACCCGGTAAGACCTCTTTCTTCCAGGCTCTCGGTGTCCCCACCAAGATTGCTCGTGGTACCATTGAAATTACCACCGACCTCAAGCTTGTTGAGGCTGGAAACAAGGTCGGTCCCTCTGAGGCCACCCTGTTGAACATGCTCAACATCTCTCCCTTCACCTATGGTATGACCATCCAGCAGGTCTACGACCAGGGTCAGTGCTTCAGCTCTGCTGTCCTGGACATTGAGGAGTCTCAGCTCCTCGAGGCCTTCTCCAGCGCCATTAACACCATCACCACCATCTCCCTGGCTGTTAACTACCCCACTCTCCCCGCTGTCATGCACTCCCTGGTCAACAGCTACAAGAAGGTTCTTGCCGTTGCTGTTGAGACCGACTACAGCTGGCCCGAGATTGAGGAGCTCAAGGACCGTATTGCCAACCCTGACGCTTACGCCTCTGCTGCTCCTGCCGCTGCCGCTGCCCCTGCTGCCGGTGGTGCTCCCGCCGCTGAGGCTCCCAAGGAGGAAGAGGAGGAGTCCGATGAGGACATGGGCTTCGGCCTCTTCGACTAAACGTCTCGTGTCAATGTTTCACGGGATACGACTGCCATGTATTAGATACTTTTCTTGCCGGTCTTGACGATTGGGTAAATGAAAATGATTGTCATGGTCATGAAACAATGATCTTCTTTCATCTAGATAGGGACGTAGTCACGTTCCCTGATCTGATGAACTGAAAAAGGTGAGCTTTGAACAATCCTTTGGTTTTTCTTGCTTCGCATACATGCCCACTCCCCGGTGATATGATGATACATTTTTAACCCAGAGCTACTTGCTTTGACGAACAAAAACAGCAACAACAAACACTCTAATTTTTTGCTGACACCATCTCATTCAATTTGCCATTTGTCACACATTACCTTTAATGGTCCGATAGCTAACAGCTTTCTCAGGTTCACAGATTAAATGTAGCCCGGACGTAAGGCCGTCGCGCTGTTCATTACCCCAGAGGCTTGTTCTGTGGTTGTGTACGAGTAGCGGCTAGAAGAGCGTAGTACATGAGGCTGTTGTTGGCTGTGAAGGATTTCATGGGCATTGTATTGGTTGCCGCTGTCAGGGCGCGTGGGAGGAATACATTCAATATTTATAGCATATCACAATGAAACAACATCACATCGCTGCATAATTTTCAGATTGCGTAACATATTTCAATTGAAGTAGATTTAAGCAGATGTTCCAGGCTTTCGAATAGCTTGAAGCTTACCTGAGCCACGGAGGACCAGTCGAGTTCCGGCCCGAGGCCGCGAACGGTGGCAGGCCTTGCATGTCGCAAGCCCCTCCTCCGCAAGGTCCCCTCCATCACTCCCACATCCCACATCAAAATGCAGCATCAATTCGAGCCATTGAAGAACGACCTCTTGCTGAGGGCAGCTAGGGGTAATTTTGATTTCAAACAATTATATTCGAAGAGATGGGACTGATATCATTGCAGGCGAGAAAGTCCAGCGTCCTCCGATATGGGTTATGCGGCAAGGTACGCCTCTCTCTACAAACTCCTCGTTATGCACTCTTTCGACACTCGAGTAGATTAATTCTCTCTGATAACTGACCATGTTGTGCTTCTTATATAGCTGGCCGTTACCTCCCCGAATACCATGAAGCCAAAGCCGGCCGCGACTTTTTCGAGTGCTGCCGCGACCCCGAAGTTGCATCGACGTTGACGCTCCAGCCCATCGACCGCTACGCCGGACTCATCGATGCCGCGATTATCTTCTCCGACATTCTGGTCATTCCCCAGGCCATGGGAATGCAGGTTGAGATGGTCGACAAGAAGGGCCCCCATTTCCCCGAGCCGCTCCAGTCGCCCGATGACGGACAGTACGAGAAAGTGATGCAGAAGGAGGTGGATGTCAAGTCGGAGCTCGACTACGTCTACAAGGCTATTACCCTCACCCGCCACAAGCTGCAGGGTCGTGTGCCGTTGATCGGCTTTTGCGGTGCCCCGTGGACTCTGCTGTGCTACATGGTAGAGGGAGGCGGCACGAAGCTGTTCGTCCAGTCGAAGAAGTGGATCTACAAGTACCCCAAGGAGTCGCAGGCTCTTCTGCAGAAGATCGCTGAGATCTGTGTTGAATACCTGGCGCTTCAGGTTGCTGCTGGTGCTCAGCTGGTACAGGTCTTCGACTCCTGGGCGGGTGAGCTGTCTCCGGCCGCTTTCAAGTCGTTTTCTCTTCCCTACTTGCGTCACATTTCGGCGAACCTGCCTAAGAAGTTGAAGGAGATGGGACTGGAGCCTGTCCCCATGACGGTCTTCGCGAAGGGTGCGTGGTTTGGCCTTGAGGATCTCTGCGAGTCGGGCTACAACGTTGTTGGTTTGGACTGGCTGCATGACCCCGCTGAGGCTAGACGCATTGCCAACGGTCGTGTGACGATCCAGGGTAACGCTGACCCCGGTGTTCTCTATGGAGGTCGCGAGGCTATCACGGAGGCTGTGGAGACCATGGCTCGGGGCTTCGAGAAGGGCAAGCAAGGCTGGATCGCCAACTTGGGTCACGGTAGGCACCTCCAGCAACTGGGCGAATTGCTACAATGCTAATGTTACACAGGTGTGACTCCTTTCGTCAACCCGGATGATCTCAAGTTCTTCTTCGAGGAGATCCACCGTCTGACGGTGTAATTTGGGGCTCAATGCGACCAGAAATAGCTTCCAATTCTTGATTATGTACATGAGAGCCTAGCCAGCAATATCGTTGACACCTTCACGAAATTCAAAAGCTCAGACGGAAATGTCCTCGTTCCTGCAAAGATGTCTCACAGTCAGCTTACGTTCCAACAAAAATCTAGACCATTCCAATGAGATGCATGGGAAACCTACCAAAGCTCCGGCTTCTCCTTCATAAACTTCTCCATCAACTGCTTACACTCTGCGTTGTCCAAAACCACAACCTCCTTCCCGCGGCTCTTAAGGTAGTCCTCACCACCCATGAAGCTCTTGTTCTCACCCACAACAACGCGCTTAACCTTGTAGAGGATGCAAGCACCGGTGCACATGTCGCACGGCGACAGGGTGGTGTACATTGTAGCGCCCTCGTAGGCCGAAGCGGGCAAACGACCGGAGTTCTCGAGCGCGGACATCTCAGCCTATGATCGTAGGAATTAGAATGAGTCAGAGCCAAATAACCACTTGAAGAGGGAATGGGCTCAACGAACATGCAACACCGGACTACCCTTCTGGACGCGCATATTGTGACCGCGGCCTAGAATCTTGCCATCCTTGGAGACCAAACAAGCTCCAATGGGCACACCACCCTCAGCAGCGCCTTGCTTGGCTTCTTCCACAGCAGCAATGAATCCGGCGTCGGTCTCCATGGTAGTTTGTATTTGATGTACAGTAGTAATTGGAATATGGAATATAGAGCGATTGGAGGGGTAATGGGAGAGAGAGAGTTAGATAGAAAAGATGGGGTAGCATCAAGCCGGAGCAAACTCTGTGTGGTTAACTGCCGGACTGACCCGCATCGGGCTGGACGTGCGGAGCTCCATGATAATGAGAGGGGAGATAGGTGGCTGTCATTGAGATAGGGGATGTTGATTACATTCGTACTTGATAATAAATTCATTGATTATGTGTGCATGTAATAGACTTTCTTGGGTTATGGTCATGCATAAGGTGCCTTTCGAGGGTGCTTGGGGATCGACATGCATAAGCGCAAGCCAGATGCTTGACATTTCATGTCTCGTATATACTAACTATAACTTTATGTGGTATGTGTTGATTGTATATGAGACATCTTATCTAGATCTATAGAACTGGATGATAATGCCCTTTTTCTTGTGACCATTCATTCATGATCTAATAAGTTACAAGAACAACCTAGCAGTGACTGATAAACTCGGGGTCATCCCGCGCGCAAACCCCATGCCAGTCACTATCTACTAGTATCTCCTCTTATCGCAGAGATCAATCTCTGAATCTCTGATCCACGGTCATGGCAAGAACCATAGAATTGACTTTATTCTTTGGTAGTCTGGTACTCTGGATAATAGATTGCCTCTACAGCAGACGAAACCGTAGAGTATATGTACCAGGCATTTACCAGTTGAATCGAAGCCCACCGGCAATTAGCGATCGCGAGGAATACTAATCTCCAGGTGGGGAAAATCCCGACAGGCTTTTTCTTCCCCTCCTTCCGCATCGGGCTAATCGCCTCTCCTTATCGATAAGCCGACAATCAGCCACCGCCCGCCACAATAATTCCGGTGCCTGAGGCAAAAGAAAAGAAAAGAATCTGACCTGGAGACAAGGCAGATCCGGGCGGCTACGTCAAAGTTTAATTTTGCAGTTTCCTTTTTTTTCTTTTCTTTCTTGGATTTCACCAATTGTAATATACTGGGTAGGTATTTTTTACATGTAAGATGGGAGTGTGAAGTAGTAAGTGAGTGTGGATGGAGGGATACTACACAATACACAGCATTTAGTACTTAGTGTGAAGATCCTCGTGAACTGTGTATGATTGGACTGTAATACCCAGGCAGACCCTGTCGCATACCACCGACTTGTGGAAAGGACCAGCTAGCTTACTTAGGACCACCCCTCCATGCTGTAGTATCGAACAAAATAGAAAGGAAAGTCCCGGTGATACATACACATTTGGTCAAACACCAGGAAATGGATGCAACCAACGCTCTCTCCACGGTCACGAACCGGTAATTACCAGGGCGATTGTCAGCGATGGAAAGGCTGCGAAAGCGGTGGAAGGACACAGAATCGCATCGAAGCAGTCGGAAGGCGCGCTCGGACCATGAAGGCTGCGGGTGACGGGGCTTGTCGAAGCAAAGAGAACAACTCCATTCAGCCTGAGACGTTGTCATCGTAGTCATGACAATTTGTTCAAAAGCATCCGACAATCTCTCCTTTCGTGTTAAGATCTGATCCTTTCAGATTTCTATATCCTCCCCCGCCATCTTCTTATTCAACTCCAGTTCCAGCCAGTTGAAGCGCAGTTCGCTCATCTTCTCCAGCATTTCTATACTTCCCGGAGTTTCGCCCTATCGTATCTCCGGTATTTGATACACAAATCTCGAAACTCTTGGCGGGACTTCACTGTGCTCGTGCGGCAAATCAAAGGTCGATTGGTGCCTGGTCCTGGTAATCAATTTACACATACGATACCCTCTCACTGTGTCTCAGCCGCCGCCCTGTCGCCGCTTTCTCTCTTCTCTGGCTCTCTCTCCTGGCTTTGATTATCACCCGGACGGACCCTCTCTCTGTCTTCTCTCTCCAACTCTTCCCTTCTTCCTTCCACCTCTTACTTGTCCCCCTCACGCCTTCGAGACTCCTCTCCCCTCGTCTCTTCCACTCCTCCCTCTTTTTCAAGGACTTCTCTACGCTCCTTGATTCGTGCCCTCTTTTGTTTCGCCTGTTCCATACCCCGGTGTAAGGTTTTCTAGGATCGGATTGTTCCGTTTCGTCCCTCCGAAAAGTTCTTGATTCTTCTTTATTTTCCCTCGGCTTCTCCTCGTCGCTCAACTTTCCTCTTCCGAATTTTTTCTCTTCTAGACACAGATCACAATGGTCAAGGAAACTAAGTTCTACGATATCTTGGGGGTATGTTCTGGGTTTTCGCCAAGTCTGGCTGGTTTTGCACGTCACAGAAACTAACGGTGAGGCGGTTAGGTTGCCCCGACGGCCTCTGAGGCCCAACTGAAGTCTGCCTACAAGAAGGGTGCTTTGAAGTACCACCCTGGTAAGTACGACTTGAATTGCGAATGCGCTGCTTTTCACGGTATAGTCAGGGGTCATTACTAACACGATATCTGTATAGACAAGAACACAAACAACCCCGAGGCCGCTGAGAAGTTCAAGGAACTGTCTCACGCTTACGAAACCCTCTCCGACCCCCAGAAGCGTAGCCTCTACGATCAGCTCGGTGAGGAGGGTCTTGAGCATGGCGGTGCTGGTGGTGGTATGGGCGCCGAGGACCTTTTCGCTCAGTTCTTCGGCGGCGGTGGTGGTTTCGGCGGCATGTTCGGTGGTGGCATGCGTGACCAGGGCCCCAAGAAGGCTCGTACCATCCATCACGTTCACAAGGTCAACCTCGAGGATATCTACCGCGGTAAGGTCTCGAAGCTGGCCCTCCAGAAGTCCGTCATCTGCCCCGGTTGTGATGGTCGCGGTGGTAAGGAGGGTGCTGTCAAGTCGTGTACCGGCTGCAATGGTTCCGGTATGAAGACCATGATGCGCCAGATGGGTCCCATGATCCAGCGATTCCAGACCGTTTGCCCCGACTGCAATGGCGAGGGTGAGATCATCCGTGAGAAGGATCGCTGCAAGCGCTGTAACGGCAAGAAGACCACCGTGGAGCGCAAGGTTCTCCACGTCCACGTTGATCGTGGTGTGAAGAACGGCCACAAGATTGAGTTCCGTGGTGAGGGTGACCAGATGCCCGGTGTTCTGCCCGGCGACGTCGTTTTCGAGATCGAGCAGAAGCCCCACCCTCGCTTCCAGCGTAAGGACGACGACCTCTTCTACCAGGCCGAGATCGACCTGCTCACTGCTCTTGGCGGTGGTACCATCAACATTGAGCATCTTGATGACCGGTGGTTGACCGTGACCGTTGCTCCAGGCGAGGTCATCACTCCTGGTATGTGCTTCCCCTCTCCAGCCTCGACTTTGGCGCATCAGACTTACGTTCTCTCTGCAGGTGCTATCAAGGTAATCAAGGGCCAGGGTATGCCTTCCTACCGCCACCACGACTTCGGTAACCTCTACATCCAATTCGATGTGAAGTTCCCCGAGAAGGATCAGCTCAAGAACCTTGAGTTGCTCGAGCAGGTCCTGCCTCCTCGTATGGAGCAGTCCCAGCCCCCGCAGGACGCCATGATCGAGGACTTCGAGCTGGAGGACATCGATGGCAGCGAGACCTCTCAGGCTCGCGCCCACGGTGCCGCCAACTCCATGGACGAGGATGACGATGATGTTCCTCCTGGCGCTGAGCGTGTGCAGTGCGCATCGCAGTAAACGGGGAGTTTAGATGAGGAGTGATGATGTCGTGCTGGGGCTTAATGAAATTCGCTTATGATACCATGTGAGGGGTTTCGGCCCCGGTACTGCTCGGTTCTGTTATGTTCGTGCGATGACTTATTTCTGCGATGGCGTTTGCACTAAGATTCGGGAGATGAAATGGAGATTTCTTTTTTTTCGTTGGATGCGTTTTCCACCATCCTCACCATCATCACGCAGTGGTTTCCCATACTATAATATTCTCTTTTCCTTTTTCTGTCATTGGGAATGGGAGCCTCTGGGATTTGATGAGTGGATGAGAGACGATGTTACATGAGTTAGCTTCTTTTCTCCTTGACTCCGGGGAAACATGTCGGAGGGTTGAGCGTTTCTTAGTTTATAGACTACACAGCACGGCTTGGGTATATCATGCTTCTGGGTTCAAACGTCCATGTAGCGATAGAGTAATCTTATGGCTATGACTTCAACATCTGGAAGTACACACACCCGATACGTTAAACAATAAACACACCATTCTACCTCCTTCGCCTCACCTCCAATACTCATCTTCATATACCAGAATAGAACCCAAAAAAAGGATAGAACAAGGAAAATCACCCCCGGACACAAATACTCAACACCCAACACAATCCAACCTACATAATGACTTAGTATTTACCCACATATCTCGGCCCGCCAACACCCCCACCCCACCACCGCCGCACCCCTCCACAACGAAACCACACATTCCAGAATGCCAAAACCCCCC